AACAACAAGAATAACAGCAGCAGCAACAGCAGCAGCAACAATTACAGTCCGCACCGCAGACCCGTAATCGCCCCTCCCCCCCCCCAAAAAAATGCCATGCGCGCTGGGGAGCAAGGGTCTTTGAGAAAAGTGCCACCCGTTATACGCATGAGTACCCGTCGGTCGTTGAAAGTTGGTGTTCTTGAATGCCCTAGTCCCCTAAGCTACTTCAGGCGCCGTCCTACTTTAAGAGTCGAGTGGTGTTCTCTTTTCTCTCCTCTTCAGGGGGCGGGCCGAAGCCCAATCTACTTTCAACGCCTTCCTGCTTCCTGATTCTACCCATTTCTTCCGACAGACGGGTAGTGGTAGTGGCAGTGCCCCCCTATCCTCGCCTTACCTCCCTCATGCCCGTCCGCATTAGTCCCCCCCCTCGCCCTATCCCCCTTTCTCATTATCCTCCACCTTATCTCCCCTCCTCCTTGACAACCCGTCCACTCAATGTCTCCATATGTTTTCTTCTCCCTCGCCACTCTGCTATCGTCTCTCCTTCGGATCCTCCCCCCCCCCGCTTGCCGTTCTTCAAACTCCCTAATTACCCGTCCGCCGTCCTCCTTCCTCTACCTTTTCCTTCTGCTGGAAGGGAGAGGGAGGGGAGGACTCTCCTTCGGATCCTCCGCCCCCCTTACTCCCCTTCTCCATACTCCCTACCCGTCTTCCGTCCACCTCTCCCCCTTCTCCTCCTGATGAAGGACAGGAGGAGGAGGAGGCAGGAACACCTTCCACTCACACCCTTCACTTTCGGTACTCCTCCCTCTGGCCAGGTGTGGTTCCTTTATCGTGGCCTGCCCCCCCACACTCCGAAATGACAGCCCTGCGGTTAGTTCCTCTGTGCGCTCGTGGGCGCGTGCGCGGGCTCTCTCTCTCGCCTGTGGCGCGACGCATCGCCAGTTGTCTGCTCTGCCTTGTTTTGTTTCCGCTCCTCTGCAGCGCAGCCGCACTCCTGGGTGCATGCCGGCGCCCGATTTTCTGCTCGCATCCCGCCGCGACGTGCTCCGCTCACGCGCGCGCACAGCCAGTGCGCAAACGGCTTGGGGGGCCGAGGACGAGCGCCGTCGTCCTTTGAGAGCTGCTTCGAGCAGCCGTTGGTCCCCAGCTCTTCTCCGTGGTACACGCTGCGCCCCGCCGGCGTGGAGCGTGGGGCGTGGCTGCTGCGAGCCCGGGGCTCCCGCCCGCCCTGCCCGCCCTGCCACAGGCCTCCCTTCTCTCCTCCTCCGCGCTTCCCGGTGGTTCGCAGACGGGGCCCCCAGGGATGGGGAAGTAGGGATAGGAAGGGGTCCAAGGGTGGATTTGCAGTGTTTGAGACACCTCGTCCTCAGGACCCCATCCTTCGGGACCCCATCTTCGAGCCACCGGGCTCCTCCCTTTTCTTCACGCAGGCAGCACACTCGTTGCTCTTTCGGGCCACGGTTCGTGGCATGAGCTCGCTCTTATCGCAGACCAACGCTTGCAGTGCTCCCGGTCTGCCTGGCGACCTTCTTTGATTATCACAGCGGTCGAGGCCGAGTCTGGCGAAGTTCTGTGGTCGCTCTCTTTCTTTCTCCTTAACAACTAACTCACAGCAACAACAAAATACACAGCACAAAAACGGGTTAGGGGGCCCGACGTCTGCTTCTGGCACGAAGGGGAAGCGGGTCCGGGAGGAAAGGCTCCCCTTGGCAGTCTTCCGATTGTTTCGGGCCCCTCGTCCCACCGGCACTGGGACCGTAAAAAACGTCGGGGGCCTTGAAAAGGGGGTCAAAGCAACCAGGGGTCAGCCAGCGCGCCGGATCTTGCAGGATCCTGCAGAGCCAGGGCTGCATTCACCCCGGCTTGGGTGCAGGATTTTGCAGGCTCTCGCAAGGCCCGACTGGCCCGGGTTTGCGTTAACCCAGGTCAGTGTGTCCCTGAAAACGACTCAGGCAGAATAGTTGATCCTGGGGGAAACCAAGGGTCTAGGACTGGTTCCCCTCAGGACCCCTCCTTCATGGCGGCCCTTTTTTCGAGCAAGATGTGACAACCACCCCCAGACGAGGAGCACATTGCGACCCGCCGTCTCGCGACTATTGAAGCGAAGACAGGCGATCCGATCGCCGCCGTCGTCGTCGGCCTCGCCGCCGCCGCCGTCCCCAGACATCCGAACTTATGATTGTTGTTCAAAGCCCGGCCCCAATAGTCCCTACCCCTTCCCCCAGCCCAGTTTTCCCCCCGGCTCCACGTTCAGTGGCCCCAGCGACCCGAAACGGGCCCCAGAGGAAGACGCAATCGAGGAAAATTGTTGGATTGATCCAAAAAACATAGTCGGAGATTTGGGTCGTCGTCGTGGCCGCCGCCGCCGCCGTCGCCGCCGCCGTCACCGTCGCCGTCGCCGCCGCCGTCGCAGTCGCCGTCGCCTTCGCCGTCGCCGTCGCCGTCGTCGTCGTCGTCATCGGCGTCGGCGTCGGCGTCGTCGCCGTCGTCGTGGCTGCCGTCGGCGTCATGGCAGGCGCGCCTGCTGGAGCGGCAGGGTCGCTGGGGCAGCCTGCAGACCTCCTGGCTGGTCAAGAACGCCTTCGCCGCGTGGCGCCGCGCGGCGGCTGCGGCGGCGGCGGCGGCAACGACGACGCCTTCGACGACGACGACGACGACGACGACGACGACGGCGGCGGCGGCGGCGGCGGCGACGACGACGACGGCGTCGGTGGCGGCGACGACATCTCAAAGGCGACCCTCGGACTTGTCCTTGGGCCCGTCTGGGCAGGGATCTCGAGGCGGAGGCAGCCTTACGGACGGCGAGGGGCGCCCCCCGGGGAGGCAGAGGAGAGGAGGCAGACGAGCGAGAGCCTCCCTCCTCGCTCCCTGCGGGGGCCTCGGGAGGCCTGCAGAGGCCCCCAGAGCAAGGATGCTCAAGGTGACCTCGTCTTGGGCCAGCAGAGCGAGGTTCGGCCTCGGAGAGGAGGAGGAGGAGGAGGAGGAGGAGGAGGAGGAGAAGTAATGATCGCAACGCTGCGCGGCTCGGGAGCACGGCAAGTCGTCTGCCCCGGCAGCACAGGCGCGCGTCTCCGGAAACCCCCAGGGCGGTGATGCTCGAGTGGGGGAGGGGCGTTCCAGGAAGGGCCTCGCCCTCGAGGATAAAAGGGGTTGCCAGCCTCTTCCTCGTCGGCGGAGGGGCGGCGGAAGGCTAGCGAGGCCGCCTCCGCCGGCGGAAGCTGGTGGAGGGCTGGCGGAAGGCGGCGGGGGCAAAAGGTGCGCCCCCAAGGGGTGAGAACGTTCCGGGGCTCAGGGTTTCCGAAATCGCCCGAGCGTCTGTCGTCTCGGGCCGTCCGCACGAGGTCCGGCTTCGGAGGGTCGTAGTGATCGAGTAGAGTATCGATTGCAGAATTTTGATTTACCGCCAACTTGATGTCCCTCACCGAAGCTGCGACGCATAGGCAGCATGCTCGTGCATCTGCTGAAGACTCTGAGCATCTGTTTCCGTAGAGACGTTCGGCACCGCCTGATCCCGGGGCTTTGCCCTCTCATGGCCTTGACGTGAGGCCCCTCCTTCAGTTTCCCTTCCTCTGTTAATTAAAGCTGTGCGCGGCCCGCTTAGCTTCGACCGGAAGAGGCTCGCTTTCGACCCGCGGACCAAAAAAATGTTTCCGTAGAGTCGGCGAGACAAATGATTCTGGGGCAGATCAATTCTGCAGTCGATCCCCTTTTACAGTCGACCCGCAGAGTAAGGATGGGCACCCCTCCCAAGGGTACCCCTGCATCCTTGCTTCCTGGGCCCACCCTTGGACGCTTTCGTTGGCCGCGCCCCGCTCGAGACGCCTCGAAATGGGCGTCCAAGGGCCTTGCATCCTTACAGTCGGGGCCCTGAAGAAGGAACCCTTTTCGTTGGGGAGGGGCTCCGTGTTCCTTAATTGTTTCGCAGCTTGCCTTAGATTGTCCTGAGGGCTTCGATACGAAACCGAAGTTTAACTCATGGAAAATAAGGACCTCGTTCCCTACTTAGGGTTCCTTAGGTCAACGCCTCGACTGTATCGCGCATCCTTTCTCTGCGGGCTGACTGCGCCCGAAGCGATCGCAGCGCTGCGCGGCTCGGGGGCAGGGCAGGACTCCTCTGCCCCCGGCAGCCCCGGCGCGCGCAGAGCCGGGCGCTCGCCCCCCCGAGGCCTCGCGAGGCCCCCGAGGCCTAAGTCGGGCCTGTCCCTCCACAGGGGGGACATTCCAACCTGGCCAAGAAATAGTATGGGGATTATTTTTTGAGTTTTTCGGGGCCTCGTTTGAGCATTTTTGGAGTATGTTTCATTTGTCGTCCAAAATCCCCCTGTAGGGAGACAGGCCCGACTGAAGCTTAAGTCGGACCTGTCCCTGTACACGAGGAAGATTCCAACATAGCAAATTCGCCTGTAGGGGGACATGCCCGACCTAACCCGAGGCCCAGAGAGGAGCCAGAGCCGTCCAGCGACTTCGAGCCTCGGAGAGGCTGGACGTCCAACGACTTCGAATGTCCAACGGCATCCGACGATATCCGACGGTTTGCAAGGAATGACTCCCGCAGGCGTCGGGCTCAAGCCAGGCGCCCAGCGCGCAGCCCGCGGCCCAGCGGCGGGCGCGCGCGACGGACCCACGCAAGTGAAGGAGAGATCCCCCTCGACAGCGTGGCACAGGAGGCTGAGAAAGCGGAGATCCTCAGCCCGCAGATTCCTCACGCTGGTGCAGGCGCGCGAGCTGCTGGAGTCACACCACGGGAGCATGGCGAAGAAAACCTGGACCTGGGAGAAGAAACAGCAGGGCTGATAGGATGACCAGGAAGGACTACACCCGCTGTGCGACGTGGGGATGCAAGGGTTGGATCACGGACGCCATCTGGAAGCCAGGCCTGCAATGCCACCACTGTAAGGCCACCTTCAAGAAGCCGTGGAGCGTCAACCAGGCGGAAGCTTCAGCCAGCTCCATCTCGACGAGCCAGCCGTGGACAGGTGGCCGACAAAATGGAGGAGGAGGCCAGAAGGCGGAGAAGGCGGAGAAGCAGGAGCTCTCGCAAGCGTTGGTCGTCATAGCAGAGAAGGCGGGGACCATGAAGCTGGAGAACAGCGAGCAGATGGGCACGCAGATGAAGGGACTTGCGCAGCAGATCGCACAGGCCACTCCGCCCAAGGTGAAGTCCAAGCCTGAGAGGATGGCGGCAGCCGCCGAGGCTCTGAGGATTGCGAATAAGCGCTTCCTCGCGGTCGCAGCGGAGGTCAAGAAGCAGAGGGCCTGGCTGCGCGAGTTCGAGGTCAAGCTAAGCGATAAGGCGGCCGCCGTTGTCGAAAGGAGAACACCTTGGAGGCAATCCACGCCCAGGGCAAGGAAGGGCAGCAGCAGAGCTGCATGCAACAGCTGATCACCCCGACGCCCGAGGACACGGCGCTCGACGGGACCATCGACCTTGAGGACGAGCTGGATTTGGAGGATGACGACATGGACGAGGCAACGCGCCAAGCGGTTGCGGAAGCCAAGAAGAAGCTACTGCAGGTCCTCAAGGAAGGAGCCAAGTCACACGCACAGCAGCTGCAGGAACACATCCGCGCGGCAAAGGAGGAGGCGGCAAGGAACAGGGAGGCGATCAGGCATGAGGTGAAGAAGAGGAAGGTGCAGACCCCGATGGAGGGAGCACCAGCTTCTGCAGCAGCGGCAGCAGGCGCACCTCCAGGGCCAGTCAGCGCGGCAGCCATGGGGCCCACGCCAGATGCTACCACAGTCGAGGTCGACCGCGACGACGACGCGGCGATGGAAGAGGAATCGCTCAAGCAGGCCAGGTCCAAGATCGCCGAGACGGGCGGGGCGGCCCTGGGCAAGCAGGAGTGACTCTTACATCTGGACGCCCACACCTGCAAAACCGACCAGGGCGCCAGGGGTATCTTCGCCGGCAATACCACAACGCGGGGCCCTACTGTGGAGTCGCGGCTTCGGGATATGCACCTGGAGATCAATGGCAGCGAGCGCGGTGGGCAAGGGTTCTACGCATGCCTAATTCAGGAGACCCACCCTCGACACCAACTGCTGGAGAAGGAGGGGGAGCTCCTCGACAAAAGGGGTTTGAAGGCGTGCTTCGCAGCATCTCAACCTCCCGTCAAGTCCGAAAGGGGCCTGAGGGGAGGAGCGATGACAGCCGCGAGGTCGCACTGCAAGAGCTCGCCCTTCCGCGAGCACGCGGCGCGCGGCAGCGTTTCGGGGGCCATCGCTGGCAGCCGTGGGGGGGGGGGGGAGACAAGCCGTGGGAGCAGAAGACTTGGGTCTACTTCGGATGGAGGATTGGACTGCGATGACATGGCGTTTGACAAAAATATTGCATCGCAGTCATCGCGATCCACCTGAAGGGTGACCAACCGCTGAAGGAGGGGGCCAATGCACGGCGATTGGCTGAGGTGGCGAGGTTTACACGGTCTTGGAGGAGAGGTGCAAGGGACCACGCGCGCCGGTTAGCCAACGTGGAGGCCAGCGCGCCAGGCGCCCTCCTCAAGACCACGAAGCCCAAGAGGAGACACGAGGACGAATGCGCGCAAAAAAAACGGAAGGCCGCGAACCCGAAGGACAGCGTCGACCTGAAGGCAGAGAGCTTCGAAGAGATGTGGTAACGCGCCAGCAAGCACGAGGGCGCGGCGGACGCGATCAACATGCTGCGCGAAAGGGCGCAAGTGGAGGCCACGCCAAGTCGGGGACTTGAGGGGTCCGACGATGCGATCAAAGGTGCCCCCAACAAAGGCAAGGGCGCGAACAGGCTGCGAAACGGGAAAGCGAGACGAACGCAGGAGCAAGAATCATAGATACGGACACTAGCTACACCAAGACAACAGAGGCCTGTGGAAGACGCCAGACAGGACGACGGAAGCCAGGGACCATGGATACTGACACCAGCGACATCGAGAACGAGACAGTGGCCTGGGCCAGAGAGACGACGACGAGAACTGCACCAAACCACGTGGACAACCCCGAGACGGACAGCACAGGCATAGAGGAGGACCAGGAGGAGTGGAACTCCTACCGAGATGAACCCCCCAGCCAGAACTGGAAGGACTAGAGATATTACGGGGGCCAAGCAGTGGGAAGCCTGCCATGGGCCAACACTGTAGGGCCCCTTCCAGCAGCCTCGACTGCAGGAGACGGCAACGATCTTGATATCGAGGCGGCTGGCCAGGTGCGAGGCCACGACCCCTGGAACGGCGCAGAGACAAGGGGCAGCGAGCTGGAGGAGGAGAAGCCCACCAACACCGAGCTGAAGGGCCAGCAGGTCAACACGACCACGCTGAACCACACGGAGGACAGAATTATCGAGATGAAGCACACCAGGTGAAGCACACCAGGAGGAGAGCGGAAGAACCGATCCTCATCAGCGACCCGGCGGCGTTTAGGGCAAAGGTGATGGAAGCTACCAAGCGTGGACAGCAATGCCACCACTTTGGGGCCACGATGAAGAGCGTCTACTGCGAAGCCCACGAAACCAGCGAGGAGGACCAAGACAGGTATAAGGACAGAGGCATGGCGTACGAGTTCCAAGAGAACCAGAAGGAGGTCAGAGAATCGGGAGCAAGGCGGGCAACCTGGGCGGCTTT